TTTTCGTGGTGTAGATAGAACTTGGAGCAGGGTCAGGAGGTGGTGTGGTGGTTAAGGGTGCTGGACTCCCACATGGCTGACTGCAGGAAAGTCTCTAACAAGTGAAGAAAGTGACTCATCATCTCCACTGGGTGCCCTGAGGGTGAACATTTGCCATTCCTCCTCCCGGTCCATTATCACAGTTAGGATTTTGGCAGGACCGATGGTTAAAGCAGCTGAGCCTGATGAGTCAAAGCTAATTTGCACTCCAAGTTTAGTCAATAGTTCCTTTCCCAGCAATGGGACTGAGCAATCAGGCAGGTACAAGAACTCGTGGATAACTAGGTGTCCCCCTAATTGGCAGCTTCTTGATTACAAGAAGGGCGGGGTCTTGGTGTTTCCAGTGGCTTCCATGATAGTAGCTTTTCCGCCTAGTGGGGGAGACAGAGATTGGGTTACAATGGAGTGTTCAGTGCCAGTATCTACCATAAATGCTATTGGTTGAACCCTTACCTTGACATTGACCAGCTCCCGGGGGCCTAGGATCATGGAGCCCAGTCAGTCCTATTCTGATCCCATCATGCCTAGGAGGTCTCTTGGGGCTCCTGGTGGGCTTCTGGTTGTTCTTGTTTGGTTTGCCTTCTGCTTGGGGCATTCACCTCTCCAGTGCTCATCCTCTTTGTAGTATGTACACTGGGTTAGTCTAAGTTTGGGACAGCCAGTGTCTGACCCCTCCTCTTGGACCAGGTAGGGTATCTGGTAGTCTGAGGGCAGTGGCCAACAGGGCTGCCTTTTGCTTCATTCGCCGATCTGCTCCCTTTTGTTCCTTTCAGTCTCAGTTCACGAAGACCTGATTAGCAATCTCCAGAAGCTGGGTAGCATTCACCCCAGCAAAGCCTTCCTGCTTTTGGAGATTTATTTATTTATTTATTTATTTATTTATTTATTTATTTATTTATTTATTTATTTATTTATTTATTTAATGTATGTCTGGGGCCAAATTGGGCGACAATGGTGGCATTAATTATTTGCTGGGTTTTGGAGCTCTCCGGATCAAATGGAGTATAGATCCGATGTGCCCCACGAAGCCTCTCTTAAAATTGCCCTGGCAGCACATCTGTCTTCTGAATTATTCCCATAGTTGCTGCCATGTTAGTAGGTTTCTTTGCATTGGCTTTCATTCCCTGCAGGAGTGCCTCTTGATGCTGAGATGGGCACAGCCATCCTCAGTACTGAAATCTCAGTCAGGTTTTTCATTTGGAAAAGCAGTTCTGGCCCAAGTCTCAGGATCTACCACATGATTGGGGGCATACTCTTGCAGCCATTTCTTGCTGCCACAAGGACTCTGTGGTGCTCTTCTGTGTTAAGTAGGATGAGGAGTAGTTGCTGACAGTTGTCCCAGATGGCCTGGTGGGTTTGGAGTATAGACTCCATGAGATCTATCATTGCCTGGGGCTGTTCTGAGGAAGAGGGGGTGTGGTGTTTCCAATTAAACAAATTGGTAGTGGTGAAAGGCTGGTAGTAGAGAGTTGCTCTGCCTCTCTTGAGCTGGCAGAGCTGGCAATGGCTCCTTGGGCTGCTCTTCAGGCCCCAGGGAAACAGATGTGGGTGGGATTTTGAGTACTGGCTCAGCTGAGACATATGGGGGTGGAGTTGCTAATGGCTCCTCTTCTGGGGGCCCTCCACAGGATTGGGGCCATGAGTTTCTTTTGGTCAGAGTTTGGCACTGTGGCCATGACATAGGCGGCCAAAATAATGCATTGTTTTTTCCCTCTTATGAAGATTTGTGCCCATGATGGAATGAATTGGGCTATCTGTAGCCAGGAGTCTGAAAAGGGAAACTTCCTGGGGTGGCCAAGTAACAATGTTGTACATATCCTGCATGGTAGGATGATGTAAGGTTCCCTATGGCAGCCATCCGACCTTGAAAGAGGGCCGGTCAGCCTCACAGAGGGCTTTCAACTTCTCTAGTTTCATTTTGACTACGTAATCACCAGAGAAGTCCTTTCTAAAATTAGTCAGCATACAGTCCTGCACAGTGGGCTTAGATGACTTGGAATGAGGTTTTCCCATTGTATCTGAAATATCTCTTACCTTTCCAGTCATCAAAAGCCTGCACTTCCCAGAAAGCTTGGGAGATCACTGGTTGGAGGAAGTGATCCATGAGGAGACTCTGGAGAGATGGCAGCTCCTGGGGATGGGCCTTAGCCCAGAGGCTCAGAGGCTATGCATCATCGTGGGGGTGCTGCTGATTAGGCTATGCAGTGCAGGTGATAAGTTTGTTCAAGTTTGCAGGAGGGCCTCAGCAAAGTGCTGCAATCAGAAGGACCACAGTGGCCTCTCTCTGGCCTTGTCCTCTCGGTATTCCAGTGGTGGATACCCCAGTGCTGGAGAGGGGTATTTCTGTGGCAGGTGGCAGGTGGAATGGAGGAGGACAAGGGAATGGAAATCTGTTGAGCTAATCAACAAGGGAAGGTTGTCTAGGTAGTTGGTGATGCCTACCCTCCCTTTCCCAGACAGAGTGGGCAGGTTTTGCTCTGAGGTGGAAGTCTTTATAGGAGGTTCAGGATGGACTCTGGGAGGACGTTTTTCCTCACAATTGAGAAGAACTTCCTCCTAGGCTCTGAAGACAGAATTGGTGACCTGACATTTGCTACTCTGCCTGTCCTCCTCTACAGGGAAAATCCTCCCATCAGCCTCTGTTTCCCCCCTCCCATGAATGGTGTCATAACAGACAAGGGTGGGTGCCCCTGAGAGGACCAATCAGGTGTCCGTCTGGCTATGTCCCTCCTGGGCCTTGTGTAGTTCCTTGGCAATAAGCAATCAGAAATAAACACCCTGCCAGATTGAACGCAAAGAGGCGGACAGTGTCCCCAGCATCAATTTTGCCATTTAGCATTTTTGGGACTACCACAGAATCACAGTCACAGACTCAGTAATGCTCCATAGCAAGAAGTCGGGGTGCCACAAACACATTCACTAGTCACAAACACATTCATTCAGAGGTTATACATTCCCTCACCACACCAACCAATTAACAGATGAACCCTAAGTGCTGGTCCTGCGACCAAAGGAGAGTGATTGAGCCTCCTCCTCTACTCTATTCAAGTAGGTCTAACTAGGGCTCTACAGATCCCTGGGGGCTTACCAGATTAACAGAGTTTACCAAGGTTGATGCATCAGGGTTCAGGAGTTGGTCCTTCTCTCCAAATGGAATCCAATGACCCAGGAATGCTCAGCATTGGGTGGGTACCCTGGCTGAGGGAATCCCATCAGACAAGACAGGGACACACCTGTCTCTCCACACCATAGTGCCCACCCTGGGGGAAAATGTCCTGGGATCGGTGACTCAAAGGGCCAGTCTGATTCCGTTTCCCCGCCACTACCCCAAATGTTACAGAAAAACAGATGCCAAGGAATGGAAATGACACTGAGGAGAGACACGAGAACTCTTTATTCCACCAGCAGGCCCAGAAGAGTTAACACTCTGAATCTCTGGGCCTGACTAGAAGTTGGACACTGTCATTTATGGGGGAGTTGGGTCATTTATGGATCTTGGGATGTTAGGGATGGGGAAGGAGCTCAGAGCCTGCTCTGAAATGAAGGTGGCAGTGAAGCAGGGAGTCTAACCTATGTAAGGTTTCAGGTTACCTTGTAGCTCTGGGGAAGGACAGTAAGTTTGCCAGAGGGCAGAAAACTCTCAGTTTTTCATAAATTCAGAGTTTCTCCAGATGACTACCAGAGAAGACCATCTGCCTTGGACATGAGGTTAGTTACTAACATTTATCCTGAAGGTTGGTAAAAATTTTTTAGCAGGGGAAGGTCTGTCATTAGTATCTTTTTTTTCTTTTTGGTTTCTTGAAATTTTTTGCCCTGCACTCGCACATCTCTTGCATGAGGAATTTAATGATCTCATCACACACATCCAGGATAGTCTTTTTTTTTTTTGAAGAGGTTTTTGCTATAGGGCGCGTGCGCTCGCCAGACAGACAGAGACAGAGAGACAGAAAGTGAGAAATCATCCCCCAGGGGGGATGGCCACACCACAATCCCTTCTCCTCCAGTCTCTTCTCGGGATCTTGGGCATGCACACACATGCACCCTGCGTGAGTTTTAAGCCACTGGGTCCAGGGCGTGAACTGCGGTCGACTACATGGGAGTCCAGCGACATAACCATTACGCTAACTGCTGGTCCCTCCAGGATAGTCTTTGAAGGAATTAGCATCCATATCCGGACGTACTGCCTGGATGTTGACTTCATGTCCCATCCCAGTGGTGAATTTTCTGTGTGTACATCTGGGATATCAGAAGGAAGATAACAATCTTCCTGGTGCCAAGAGCCATGTAGGAGGGGTGAATTTGTTTTGACACAGGAATACTTTTATAACTCTTTTATATGTTATTTTGTGTTATACACATGTATATGTATGCTATATGTTACGTTTATGTGGCAAAGTCGTTAAGGAATTCTATTAAATTTGTTTGAGAGTTTTTTGCTATAGGGCACATGTGCTCGCCAGAAAGACAGAGAGAGACAGAGAGACAGAAAGTGAGAAATCATCCCCCCTGGGTGGCCACACTGGTGTGGCCACACTGCAATCCTTTCTACTCCATTCTCCTCTCAGGATCTTGGGCACGCATGCTCACATGCCCAGCGTGAGTTTAAGCCACTGGGTCTAGGACTTGAACTGCGGTCGACTACGTGGGAGTCCAGTGACATAGCCATTACGCCAACTGCTGGTCCCGGAATTCTATTAAATTTGGCATACAAATAAAGAGTGCTCATAGCATTTAATCCAGATGATTTCAAGTTCATGTGACTTAAGTAAATAAGCCAGTTAAAAGTTTAAAGATAAAATTGAAGATATCTTTATCATTGTCAGCCTAGGTTTCACCAATCAAATCAAATGCAAGATTATCTTTGTATTATAGATCCAGTGGGGGGCGCTTATCTCAATCTCTGCCTCTGTCACGTGCAAAGAAACAGTCAGCGGTGACTCCTAACTCAGGATCCTGTCTATTTAAACCTCAGCTGGAGAGAAGGGAAGTGAGTTCTTTTCGTAGCTGTCACCCAGAGAACAATATGGGTGGTTCCCCAGCATGCCTCATCCTCATCACTCTCCTCTGCCAGCTCACAGGTAAGCACAGCCAGCTCATTTTCCATTCTTTTGACTGTCTTCCCCATCCTGAGGTACAGCTCCAGTCTCCACCCTGAACTTCTAGCTCAGCTTCATCTAACAGCTAAAAAGCAATCACTGGTCTCTGAATCATGGAGAGCAGACTGGAGGGAGATGAAAAACAATGGTTCTGAGGACTGGCTCCTTTTCTGACTGTCCCAGGGAAGGAAAGGCTTAACAAGTTTTTCTGAGTATCAGAATAACTAGGTTGTAATCCAGATCATGCCGTGAATTAGATGAAGACTGTCAGAGTTTCCCTGGAACTCAAAGTCTTTGTCTCCCAGCCCTCTCTACTTTTGAGGGTAACTTCAAAAGCAGTTATGGATTTCTTTATTTCTAAACCCATTTTTATTTAAGTGTATTTCTAAATATGTTTTAGATATTAATGTATTTAAATATTCATATAGTTTTAAATGTATAACAATGATATCAATGGAAAGAACCATTTGAATTTTGTCTTTTCAAAAAATATTTATTTCCATTTGTTATTATTATTATTATTTTCTAATTCGCCCAGAGAGAGACAGAGAGAGAGGGAAGGAGAGAGAGAAAGAAAAGGAAAGCAAGAAAACAAGTCACCAAGTCCCCGACTTGAACCATGGTCAGCCATGTGGGATTTCAGCACCCCAACCACCATGCCACCTGTTGGCCCCTGATTTTGTATTTTAACTCAAGCAATCCAAACTGTCTCTACTTGGCTAACTCCAACCATGGGCACTTTGTATTTAATTCTATGGAGGACAGAGGATTTTCTGGTACCTGTCACAGGTATTCTGGTCTTTAAAGATTTTTACCATCCTCAGGACTTTCAGAACGGATTGGGAGCTCCATAAATGAGAAATATCTCTCCTGTCTATCAAACTTATGGGGTACCACCATGAGGTCTCCCTCTCAACACTTGGCATACCACCTTACCATGGGCACCCTAAGCCTATCTGCAGTGACTACTCAGGAACATAGTCATTTCCTTCCCACCAGGCCTCATTAACTGGTCAGCATGAGCACTCTCACACCCCCTTGGGTACATCAGAAGTTTGCCCTGGGGCCAGCCCATGCACAGTGACCCAGTGCTGTGCAGAGGAAGTCAGATCACACATGGACAATCGGGGTTAAAGCCTAGACCCCAGCAGCTTGAAAACCATACTGGATGCACACGTGCAGAGCAAGGTCCTGAAGTGGAGGGAAAAGGACTGTGACATGACCAGGCCCTGTTGGAGGTTTTTTCTCTCTCCCTTTTTCCTTCTTTCTCATGCATATACATGCCCTCTGTCATTAAAAAAAAAAAAAAAAATCAAAAAAAGCAGAGAAAGAAAGAATAAAGAAGTTTGCATTTTTAGTGAGCAACTAATTCTAAGCAGTTGGTCTTAGAATAAGCTTTTTTTTTTTTTTAAAAAAAAAAAAATCACTCCCTGAACGGAAATGGTGATCAGAAGTGGAACTCGAGGAAGGTGGTGGGGAGAATCATGAGAGGGATTTTGAAAGCCCCAGGTGTCCACCTGAAAACTGAAATGTGGGCAGTAAAGCACAAGTGTGGAGATTTGTTACTGGGGTCCCCCAGGAGGCTATGGGAAATCTGAGTAGTGTCCCTCCCATGGCTGAAAGGAGCCACAGATGGTCCTAAAAGCTCCACTGGGGAGGGAATCCTGGTCCTGGACAAGACCCTGAGTTGGACTTAGTAGCTGCATTATTGAAAGCAAGTTACTCATCCTCTGAGTCTTACAATTTTCAGTTGTAGCAAATCATGAAATCTAACTCAGAGAACTGTTGTGCTATCTTAAAGGAGATATTCAATGCAGAATAATTACAATAATCACCATGTCTTAAGCTCCTACTAAGCTGCTTTTCATGTAATCTCTTTATAAGTCTAGTAAGCCAGATATTAATATCCTTGTTTACAGACAAGAAAACTTAGCCACAGAGAGATCAACTTTTTAAAGCAAGATTACACAACTATTAAGAGGCAGAGCTGGAGGGCCAGGCAGTGGCAGAGTCATAATGCAACTGGATCCAAATGGGAAAGGTCCTTGGTATGAGTCCTGGAGCCTCCCTAAGCACAGATGTGCATACATGAGCATATGATTCAGGTTGGCTGAGAATGAAGGTGTGTCACAGCATGGGACCCTGTGGGGTGTGTGTGTGTGTGTGTGTGTGTGTGTGTGTGTGTTATGGAATAAATAACTGAATAACCTTAAAAAAATAAAAAAGAGGTAGCACAGAGATTGAGTTTCCAGAGTTAGTTCTAATTTTCGTCACTCTAAACTGCCTAGCACTGTTACTGACCCCAGAGAGCTGCTCAATAAATATGTATTTGAGTTGAGTCAGTTAGGATTTCTTCCCTCTTGACACACAAACCCAAAGTAAGTACTGGAGAAGCCCAGGAAGAATGATTAGCTCTGTTTCTGGAATATCTGGCTGTTTCTAGCATATGGATGCCTCACCAGGGAACCACCAAGCTCAGAGGGACCAAGGAATGGCTCTCTTGGCCTCCATATTCTCATCTGGAAAATGGTATCATAGTCTGTCTCCCTTATATGTTTAATAATGATTAAATATACGATGGTATTGAAGGGACAATTGATAAAATGAGAACTGAAAAAGTGGGTGAGGAGGTATAGCAGGAAGTGTTGAAAAGAGTAGAAGAAACAAGGAGGGGTGGGACATGAGTGAGGGGCTGAGTGATGGGGGCTTGGTAGAAATGTGGCTAGTTGGGGGTTGTACGTAGAGGAAGGTCAGTGGTCAACTGGGAGATTTATGAGACTGTTTTGCATGTGCTTCACGTGGCATTGGTTTACATTGCTCTGTCTGGGGGAATTCAGCTAAGGAGAAGTTGGGTAAAGTGTGCTAGATTCTAAAACATTTTTTTTTCATGTTGTTAACTTTACTTATTTATATCTTCTATGACTGAGAGACAGAGAGAGGTAGAAAGAGAGAGAAAGACATCCTCAACAGGGTCTTCACACCACAATTCACCCACAGTCCCAGCCAGCCCAGATCAGATCACAAATGTACGCACACACTAAGCATGTACAGGGAGACCTCTGGAAACAAACTCAAAACCTTCCCATGTGGTCCAGGTACATTACTGCTGCACCACCATCTGACCACTGTTTCTCTCTCTTTTTCTTCCTTTCTTCTTTCTTTACCTTTCCCTTTCTTTCCTTCTCTTTCTTTCTCCCTTTTTCCTTCCTCCCTTCCTTCCTTCCTTCCTTCCTTCCTTCCTTCCTTCCTTCCTTCCTTCCTTTCTTTCTTTCTTTCTTTCTTTCTTTCTTTCTTTCTTTCTTTCTTTCTTTCTTTCTTTCTTTCTTTTTC